AAAATTCGATGAATCGAATACATAGTCAAAAAATCGAAAAACCGAGATTTTGAAAAACCGAAGAATAGAAAATTCGAAAAATCTAAAAATCGATGAATCAGATATTTGACAAATTGAAAATAGGAAAAATGAAATATGGAAAAACCAAAAAAAAAGAGAAATTGGAAAGGTAAAAAGTGTAAACTTCGAATATCGAAAAATCGGAAATATGAAAAATTGACAGAAAAAAAATGAAAATTCGAATATTAAAAATCGAAAATCGGAATATCGAAAATTCGATGAATCAAAAACCAAAAAATCGAAAAACGAAAAATCGAAAAGAAAAAAAAATGAAAATTCAAATTTCTATGGAAAATTCGCAAAACTGAAAGATCGAAAATTCGATGAATCAAATACATATTCGCAAAATCGAAAATCGAAAAACCGAAATTTTGAAAACCGAAAATCCAAAATTTGAAATATCAAAATCTCAAAAGTCGAAAGCCGAAGAATAGAAAATTCGAAAAATCTAAAATTCGAAGAACCTAAAAAATCGAAAAATAAAAAATTGAAAATCGAATATGGAAAAATCGAAAATTCGAAAAATTGAAAAATCGAAAATTCAGTGGGTCAAATATACATTCGAAAAATCAAAAAATGGAAAAATTGGAAAACCGAAAATTCGGTTAATCAAAAGTTCGAAAAAACGAAATTTCGTGATACTGAAAAAACGGAAAACCGAAAAATCGAAAATTCGATGAATCAAAAACATATTCAAAAGATCCAAAATCGAAAAATCGAAAACCAAAAAACTGAAAATCCGAAAATCGAAAAATCGAAAAACTGAAAAATTTAAATTCAAAAAATTAAAAATCGAAAAAATGGGACGATCTTCCGCGAAATATAAACAATCAAAAATCGAAATTCGAAAATTTGGTGAATCCAAATCAGCAAAATCGAAAATTTGAAACCTGAAAATATGAAAAGTCGAAAGCCGATAAACAGAACATTGGAAATTTCTAAAATTCGATGAATCGAACATTTGAAAAATTGAAAATCGGAAAAATAAAAAATCGATAAATCAAAAATTCAAAATATCGAAAAATCGGAAAACCGAAAAGTAAAAAAATTGAACATCGAATATAGAAAAATAGAATATTCGATTAATCAAACACATATTCGAAAAATCGAAAATGGAAAAGCTGAAAAACCGAAAATTCGATTAATCAAATGTTCGAAACAACGCAAAATTCGAAATATCAAAAAATCGGAAAACCAAAAAATCGAAAATTTAAAAATCGAAGCATCGAGAAAGCGAAAAATCGAAAATTTGGAAATCGGAAAATCCAAAATGCAATGAATCAAATATGTACATACATATTCGTAAAGTAAAAAATTGAAAAAACCAAATTTCGAATAATCAAAAGATTGAAAAATTTAAAATTTAAAACATTGTAAATGGAAAAAATAGGTACATCTTCCGCAAAGTCTAAAAATAGAAAAATTTAAAATTCGATGAAGCAAATATTTGAAAAATCAAAATCGGAAAAAAGAAAAATCGAAAAACCAAAAAATTGTAATGTGAAAAAATCGGAAAAAAGAGAAATCGAAAAGTAAAAAAATAAAACTTTGAATATCTAAAAATCGAAAATTGAAAAATCGAAAAATCAAAAGTCAAAATACCAAAATACGGAAAGTCGAAAGTTGAAAATCATTAATCTTTAAAAACAGAGAAAAATTCGCAAAATTGAAAAATCGAAAAACCAAAATTTCCAAAAATCCAAAATTCGAAATATGCATCGAAATAAGGCGGAAACAACATTCCCAGCGTAAGATTCCATTTTAATAAAACGACAAAAAGTCGCCAGTCTTAAACGTTTCGACCACCGCGACACCTTCATTTCATAAAAGCCAACAACGAAAATTCTGAAGCTCAACCGCAAATCTTGTCTCTTTGAACCTCCTACACAAATCGAATACAACGCTCACGTTAATTATCGTCACGCAATACAGTTTTTATTCTCCACGCAGCGCATTTTCATTCCTTTGACAAATTTTCACGGCTTAGGGCAGACGCGAAAAGTTATAGAAAATTGTAAAGCAAATGCCTTTGTAACGAATTAATTATTTCAAATGCTTGAAGGCAAATGAAAAAATCACTCAACTGTTTATAATGCTTTTAGGAAAAACAAACAGTGCTAAGTTAAATAAGTAATACATTTTCTACATTTGCTTATGTTTAAGGTCCACACAATAAAAATTTCGGGAAGCATTTGTTCGAAAGATATGTAAAATTATTGTTAACATGCGACCTTTAAAAATCGGACACTATATCAGACCTAATTTTAGTAAATACTCGAGTCTTATCTGAATTGCAAAATTGATGGCAAACCTCACTTTTATTTAATTCAAATGTTGAGTCGCTGTTAAACTGTACTCTACCCAAGTTTTATAGTATTTATTTGACTTTGAGCACTGGCTCAGATAAGACTGATTTTGGCAGACGCCATACCATCTGGGTAAATACGGGCGGGTGGGCGGGGCTAGTACTTGCTAAGATAAAACTGATTTTCCCATATTAAACTTGTAAAAACTTGTTAAATTTAAAAGGTGTTAAATTACATATTTCCGTAGTAACGAATTAAATTCCTAAATTTGATTGGATACTTATTTTTTAACAACTCAATCATTAATTTTTCTGAGACACCCTGTATAAGCAAATTTAATATTAATTATGTATTAAAAATTAATCACAAGTATAGACTCATTTAAGATATATTCAGCAAATTTTTAAGCTGACGTCATCAATTTTTTGGAGGGGATAAGTAAATACATTTTGATTAAAAATTTATCATGCTTGTAAACCATCTGCAAGAATTCGGAGGTTTAGCAGATTCCAATTAAATTGCAAAATGTTGTTTTATAATTTTGATTTTATTTTCAATTCGAAAAAAGTTTAAAGAATCTCGGAAAATGTCTTTTCTAAGGAATTTGAAAGGATTTCTGATGTTTTATTTCACAAAATTTAAAAGAATCTTGAGAATTTGAAAAACTAATTTGAAATTGGAGACCCCAATGCTTTTTTTTTGAAAAATTTAAATTTTGGAGTTGTCTTGGTCGTTTTGTCAGAATTTCGTGACCCCTAGTGTCTTTTTTTAATAATTAAAAAATGTCTTCGAATCCTCTGGTATTTTGTTTTTGTAGGAATTTTGAAAAAAGTTACAGGAGACTTGGTGTTATTTTTGAAAGAATACGTCTGTCCGCTAGTGTCTTTTTAAAATAACTTTTAGACTTTCTGGTATTTTGTTCTACAAAAAATTCCAAAAGGATCTTGGGATGTCTCCGGTTTTTTTTTTGCAAGAATTTGAACGAATCTTGGGGATTTCTGATGTTCGTTCTACGGATTTAAAATAATTTTCTACTTCCTGGTATTTCGTTTTCGAAAAAAATTACACATATCTCGAGGGATCCTAGTCTCGTTTTCAAAGAATCTGAAAAAAAAAAATCAGCGAGATTCCTGAAGTATTTTACGCCCCTGGTATATTTTAGAACTAATTTGAAAGACTCTTGGAGATCCTAGTGTTTTTTTTTAATAACTTGTTTAGTTCCTTCGGTCGTTTTTTAACATTTTCAAGACCCCTAGTGTCTTTATTTAAAGAATTTAAAAATATCTGCGACACCCCTGGTGTTTTTGTCGGTGTTTCGGAAGAATTTCAGGAATTCTTGGTATTTTATTTTTGAAAGAATTTTATTGGCATTTAGTGTCTTTTTGAAAGAATTTTTAGGGTCTCTTGTATTGTGTTCTAGAAAAAAATCTGAAAGAATCTTGGGCATTTCCGAAGTTTCTTTTTACGAATTTGAAACAATTTTCGAGTTCTTGGTGTTTCGTTTTTGAAAAAAAATTAAATAATCTCTAGGGATCCTAACGTCTTTTTCTTCAAAGAAATACAAAATTTAAAACAATCTCGGAAAAACTTCAAAACTCCACAGCCCCCTTGTATTATTTTGTAGAACGAATTTGAAGGAATCTGGGAGAACTTGGTGTCATTTTTTTTTTTTTTGAAAAAATGTAAATGGTGTTCTTACGGTCTTTTTTTCAGGAATTTCAAGACTCCCAATGTCTTTTTTTTAAGAATTTAAAAAGACCTTAGAAACCCTTGGTGTTTTGTTTTCGAAAGAATTTGTAAGAAGCTTTGAGATCTCTGGTATTTTTTTTAAAAGAATGAAAAAGAATCTTGGGGATTCTAGTATTTTGTTTTTGCAGGAATTTTGAAATTTCCCTCTATTTTCTCAGCGGGTATGGAATTTGCCAAAATCAGTCTAATCTGAGCAAGTGCTAATCCCACCCACCCACCGCTATTTTCCCACAGAATATGTCATTTGCCAAAATAAGACTTATCTTAACAAGTACTATCAAGTACTACCCTCTGAGAAAAGGGCGGGTGGGCGGGGCGAGTACTTGCTAACATAAGTCTTATTTTGGCAAATGACATATCTTCTGACAAAATAGGGGGCGGGTGGGCGGGCCGAATACTTGGTAAGAAAAGACTGATTTTGGCAGATGACATATCCTCTGAGAAAATAAGGGGCGGGTGGGCGGGACTAGTCGTTGGTAAGATGAGACTGATTTTCGCAGATGACATATCTTTTGGGAAAATAAAGAGTGGGTGGGCGGGGCTAGTACTTGCTAACATAATACTGATTTTGGCAGACGCCATACCCTCTGAGAAAATAGAGAGCGGGTGGGCGGGGCTACTACTTGCTAAGATTAGATTGATTTTGGCAAATCCGATACTCTATGAGAAGACAGAGGGTGGGTGGGCAGGGCTAGTACTTGCAATGGTAAAACTTATTTCGTCGTAATCAATTTACGTAGATGCATTAACTGCAATTTTGTCCTCAATACATATATTTTAGTAACGACTTGATAACTTGCCTTATCTGATTAATTGTTGCACATAACCTAGCGTACACAGCCAAATTGTTGTAAAACTTCATTATTTTTCAACTCAAGTGTTAAGTCTATCGTTAAACTTTACAGAAGTTTTATAGTATTTATCTGACTTTATTTGATACTGTAAAATGCCTCTTAATGAATCTTCTCTCTACCCTATCGACTACATTATTTTCATAGCCACGTTAGCGGTCAGTACTTTAATTGGATTGTATTTCGGATGTATGGGCAACAGACAATCAACTGTTAAAGAATATGTACTAGGAGGAAAGAGAATGAGAATTATTCCGGTGGCGGTATCAGTTGCCGTGAGGTAATCAATTACATTTTGTTTAACCGCACTAGTACTGTGTTTTAGCCACTTTTCTGGTACCGCGCTCCTCGCAATACCAGCAGATGTTAATAGATACGGAGCGAGTGTTTGGTTGTTCGTTTTTGCATTTCTAGTGATGAGTACTGCAGCTGTTTTCGTCTATCTACCAGTTTTCTTCAAACTACAACTGACCAGTACTTACGAATATTTAGAGAAACGGTTTGACCACAAAACAAAAATTTTGGGTTTATTCTTTTATATACTGGCTGAGATTCTCACGTTCCCGATTCTTGTGTACACTCCATCTCTAACTTTTACCACTGGTACAAGATTTTGCGTGTATTATTAATGTACAAGTTCCTGTTTTAGCTAGCGGAATTAACGTTCAGGTGATCGCAGTAGTACTATGTGCTATATGCATCTTCTACACTTCTCTAGGAGGTCTCAAAACTGTAGTCTGGACCGATTTTCTTCAGTTCATCATTATAATGGCATGCTTGGTTACTATTTACACCATCGGGCTTAATCAGTCTGGAGGATTTCTACAAATCTGGCAAACAGCATCCCTCGGCGAACGACTACAAGTTTTTAAGTACCGACTTACACAAAATCTTCATTACACGCAATAATTAAAATCGTTCACTTTTAGTTTTGGTTTGGATTTTACAGCTCGAGACAACTTCTGGGGGCTCAGTTTGGGTTGTGGAGCAACTTTTACTGCAATCACAGTCGTACACCAAACCGGCGTCCAAAAATTTTTATCACTTCCAACGTACAAAGACTTTGTTTGGTCAGTCGCATATGTCGTGATTAGTTTATGCTGCGTCCAAACTTTCGGCGTTTTCATTGGTCTGGAAATTTACGCGAAATATAAAGAGTGTGATCCCCTTTCTAGTAAACAAATCCAAAAACATGAACAGCTGCTACCTTTCTTCGTGACGCAAATAGCGTCAAATATACCGGGCGTTTGTGGTCTGCTTGTGGCAGCAATATGTAGTGCTTCTCTGAGGTAATTTCCATCGTGTGTGATTTTTCAAAATCTAGTTATTTCAGTTCAATGTCGTCGAATCTGAACGCGCTGGCTGCTGTCATCTACAAAGAACTTGTTTGTAAATTCTTACAAGATAAGTCCGAAACACGGTCTACTTTTGTTTTAAAAATAATTGTTTTACTGATGGGAATTGTGGGTACTTGTTTGGTTTTTGTATTGGAACGACTAGGAGAAATACTTAGCGTTATGTCGTTGGTTTTTGGAATTGCACAAGGACCTTTACTCGGGCTATTTTCACTTGGAATGTTAGTTCCTCGGGCTAATTCAAAGGTAAATACGTATTTTGTCTGTCTAGAAACTCATGATTTTTTAAGGGTGCTTTCTTTGGAACTCTTGGTGGTTTTATATCAATATTGGGTCTAACGATTCCTTCTAAATATTACATGTTGAAAGGTCTAATAAAAACCCCAACAAAATCGCTCTCTACCAGTGGCTGTAGTTACAACCAATCACTTTGGAGCAACGTCAGTTCGACAATACTCCACAAACCAGTACCGTAAGAAGTCAAAATTTGTTACTCAAAAAAATATATTTCTGCTTGTTCTAGAAGTCAATCGATTCCAGTCGAACCAAATGCAATTTTCAAGACATCGTTCTTCTTCTATACACTATTTGGTGCGATTATGACATTCATTTTCGGTCTGGTGATCAGTTACGTCACCACAGCTGATCCTCCAGTGGACGAAAATCTTCTAAGTCCGGTTTGTCGGTTTAGAAAATCAAAACGAAGGGCAGACGGCACGTATTTAGGTGTCGAAGAAGCTTTGCAAACTTTGGAAAAATAAATTTGAACACTTCATTATGACCGTTTCTCGAAATTATTTGAAACTGATTACGATTTGAAGTTAAAAGTTAATATTTTTACCAATTTTATTAACATGTTAATTCTATAAAAATAAAGACCCTCATAACGTTAGCAGAACAAACTTTCAGTGTTATTTCAGTATTTTCTTCCAAACTGGTGCCCAAAATTTTCTAGTTCCATCAGAATCCAAGTTTCAGAAAAATTTGAAAAGGGGCAGGGGTTAATCCGTGACAACCGCGCCGACGCAACACCGGAAGTCGGCACCGAGGAGCAAATATAGAGCCCGGTTTAGGAACTCGTTATAAGTTTTTACAAGTTTAAAAGGGACAAAATCAGTCTTATCTTAAAAAGTGCTAGCCCCGCCCACCTGCCCGCTATTTTCCCAAAAAAAATGTCATTTGCCAAAATCAGTCTTATCTTACCAAGTATTAGTCCCGCCCACCCGCCCCTTATTTTTTCAGAAGATATGTCATCTGCCAAAATCAGTCTTATCTTACCAAGTATTAGCCCCGCCCACCCGCCCCCTATTTTGTCAGAGGATAAGTCATTTGCCAAAATAAGACTTATGTTAGCAAGTACTCGCCCCGCCCACCCGCCCTTTTCTCAGAGGGTAGTACTTGATAGTACTTGTTAAGATAAATCTTATTTTGGCAAATTTCATATTCTGTGAGAAAATAGGGGTGGGTGGGTGGGGTTAGCACTTGCTCAGATAAGACTGATTTTGGCAGACGCCATACCCTCTGACAAAACAGAGGGCGGGCGGGCGGGGCTAGTCTTTGCTCAGATTAGACTGATTTTGGTAAATCCCATACCCGCTGAGAAAATAGAGGAACATTTCAAAATTCCTGCAAAACCAAAATACTAGAATCCGCAAGATTCTTTTTCATTCTTTTAAAAAAAATACCAGAGATCTCAAAGCTTCTTACAAATTGTTTCGAAAACAAAACACCAAGGGTTTCCAAGGTATTTTTAAATTCTTAAAAAAAGACATTGGGAGTCTTGAAATTCTTGAAAAAAAGACCGTAAGAACACTATTTACATTTTTTCAAAAAAAAAAAAAAATGACACTAAGTTCTCCCAGATTCCTTCAAATTCGTTCTACAAAAATATACAAGGGGGCTGTGGAGTTTTTAAATTTTTCCGAGATTCTTTTAAATTTTGTATATAAACATCAAGAACTCGAAAATTGTTTCAAATTCGTAAAAAGAGACTTCGGAAATGCCCAAGATTCTTTCAAAATACAAGAGACCCTAAAAATTCTTTCAAAAAGACACTAAATGCCAATAAAGTTCTTTCAAAAATAAAATACCAAGAATTCCCGAAATTCTTCCGAAATACCGACAAAAACAAAACACCAGGGGTGCCGCAAATATTTTTAAATTCTTTAAATAAAGACACTAGGGGTCTTGAAAATCTTAAAAAACGACCGAAGGAACTCCACAATTTATTAAAAGGAATCTCCCTGATTTTTTTTTCAGAATCTTTGAAAACGAGATTAGGATCCCTCGAGATTTGTGTAATTTTTTTCGGAAACGAAATACCAGGAAGTAGAAAATTATTTTAAATTCGTAGAACGAAACATCGGAAATCCCCAAGATTCGTTCAAATTCTTGCAAAAAAAAACCGGAGACATCCCAAGATTCTTCTAGAATTTTTGGTAGAACAAAATACCAGGAAGTCTAAAAGTTATTTTAAAAAGACACTAGAGGACAGACATATTCTTTTCAAAAATAACACCAAGTCTCCCGTAACTTTTTTCAAAATTCCTACAAAAACAGAATACCAGAGGATCCGAAAAAAATCTTAAAAAAAAGACACTAGGGGCCACGAAATTCTGACAAAACGACCGAGACAACTCCCAAATTTAAATTTTTCAAAAAAAAACATTGGCATCTCCAAGATTTCTTCAAATTAGTTAGTTCCAAAACAACATCCCATCGCCGGTAGGAATTTTTCCAATTCTCCACGATTCTTTTAAATTTTGTAAAATAAAATATCAGAAATCCTTTCAAATTCCTTAGAAAAGACATTAGGATTTTCCTAAATTCTTTAAACTTTTTTCAAAAACGAAACACCAACAAGTCGAAAATTATTTTAAATCTGTAAGAACAAACATCGGACATTCCCAAGATTTGTTAAAATTCTTAAAAAATTGGTTGACAGCTAATTCGACAGAACTTCCCTCGCGCCTAAAGTACAATGAAATATATCCAGCTTTTTTGAGTTGAGTTTTTACTTTATACAATTTTGTGATGACGTCATCAACATTTTTGCAAGGACACGTATCAACTTGGATTGGTGCAGTGTAATACTAAAAATAACAGTATTGTACTCCCAAAATTTTCTGAGAAAATGGAGCAATCAATAAAATAAATTGACACATTCATTAATTTTTTTGAGATATGACTTTCCGATGGATATCTCAATTTTTCGGTTTCTCAAGTTTTCGATGTTTGAGTTTTAAAATTTTTCAATATTTCGATTTTTTGATTTCTCGATTTTTCATTCAATTTTTCGGTTTTTTAATTTTACATAGGAATATTTCGGTTTCTCGATTTTTATATTATTCGATTTTTGGAATTTTTACATTTTAAGTTTTTCACTTTTTCGATTTATCGTTTTTTTTTAAGTGTAAATGTTTCAATTTTAAATTTTTCGTTTTAGGCAATTTCGATTTCGCAGTTTTTCGATTTTTCGACTTCTCGAAGTTTCCATTTTTTTGATTTTCCAAATTTTCGATTTTTTGATGGCGCGATTTCCCGATTTTAAATTTTTTAAATTTAAATGTTTCGATTTGTCAATGTTTCAATTTTTCAAGTTCGATTTCTCGGGTTTGCGATTTTTCAGTTTTTCGATTCTTTAATTTTCAATTTTTTTAATTTTAGACTTCAGTTTCTCGATTTCTAGTCTTTTTGATTTTTTTTTGTGTTTAGATTTTTTTTAATTGTACCTATTTCAATTTTGAATTTTTCGATTTTTCGATTTTGGGCAATTTCGATTACGCAGTTTTTCCATTTTTCGATGTTTCGATTTCTGGATGTTTCAATTTTTGAATTTCGATTTCTCGGTTTTGCAATTTTTCAACTTTTCAATTTTGCAACATTTCAGTTTTGGGGTTTTTAAATTTCCCGTTTTTTCAATTACTCGATTCTCCAATTTTTCAGTTCCTCAGTTCTTTGATTTCTCAATTTCTCAAGTAATCAATTTTTTGATTTTTCGACATTTCAGTTTTGGGATTTTTCAATTTCCCGATTTTTCAGTTTCTCGATTTCTGATCTTTTTGATTTTTACTTCCCGAGCGTAAGCAAAGGAAGTATTGTAATCGAGTCCGTCGGCCGACTCTCTACTTTTACGTTTTCTCGATCTTTCATGACCCCTAGAAGACGAAGAAATAGGTCTCCCATTTCCGTCTGTCCGTCCGTCTGTCCGTCTGTTTGCCGTCCCGGATTTTTATTAGACAGATAATCTCCGAAAGTACTGGACCGATTGTTGTGAAATTTTGTAGTTACGAGTATATTAGGAATATCATGTAGATGGTAAAACGCTAACCAAAATTTGTCTAATCATCCCCACCACTAATGTGATGACGTCACTTCAAAATTGTACATAGTAAACATTTTGCAATTTAATTTTGAATCTGCTAACCCGAATGTTTTGAAATGTTGCAGATGTGTTAAGGCTATAAAGAGCATCATAAATCTTTACTCAAAATATATTTGGTTATCCCCTCCAAAAACTTGATGACGTCAGCTCAAAAGTTTTCCAAATAAATCCTATGTAAAATGTACAAAATATGATGAGTCTGTGCTTATGATATATCACTCCATTCATATTTTTTGGATTTGCATATACAGGGTGACTCAAAAAAATTAATGAATGCGTAAATTTATTTTATTGATTAACTCAGGAACTACAAAACCGAATGCTTTGAAATCTTGACGGTGTTTTAAAGTTGTCATAAGCATGGTAAGTTTTTGATCAAAATGTATTTGCTCATCCGCCCTAAAAAATTTATGACGTCACCACAAAATTTTGCTAAATAAATCCTATCTAAAATGTACAAAATATGATGAGTCTTTTCTTGTGATTTATCATTCCATTCATAGTTTTTGGATTTGCATATACAGGGTGACCCAAAAAAATTAATGAATGGTGTTCGGGTTTCGGTTTTACCTACCAACCGCAACCCTTGTCAACAAGCGTCCCCAACTTTCTCTTCTACCTGCAATGTATCGTTTCCGATTTTAACAACTTTGTACATAGACTTCGAACCGTCAACAGCAAGTAAATACAGTGTTACACAGCACATGGTTGTGTATCATTTATATCAATCTTTTTCGGTACGTATGTATGAATAACAATCATACATCCAACAAATGGGTAAATGTATTTTATTGATTTAATCAGGAACTCCAGAACCGAATGTTTTGAAATCTTGCAAATGTTTTAAGGTTATAAAGAGCATAATAAATTTTCCCAATTTCTAAAGTGACAGGAACAGGGCATGCATATGCCAAATAAGACTTTTTTGGAATATAGTTTGACTGTTGACTTAAAACCTTAATTGACTATAAATCAGCTTTGACAAAAAGATATTTACCGTTTTATGCAAAATGCGTGTTATTATTAAGCTGATATGGCTTATCAAGTTGAAGTTTTTAATGAGTAGGTTGTTTATCGGGTTAATTAATACTAAACATGCGCCTTCAATTTTTGTTTTTTTTTAATTTTCGGTATTTTAATTTTTCGACATTTTTTTGTTTATTCAATTTTTCGGTTTTTCTATTGTTAATTTGAATTTCGCGATTTCAGACATCGAAAACATTTCAATTTAGAATTTTTCTTTTTAATTTTTTGTTTTTCCATTCCGATATTTAATTTTTTTACTTCTCTATTTTCCGACATTTAATTTTTTTACTTTTCAATTTTCCATTTCTTCAATTGCAATTTTCGGTTTTTCAGTTTTTATTTTTTCAATTTCTAAATATCTCTATTTTCTGTTTTTTCATTTTTTGAATTTTTCAGTATCTCGTATTTTTTTTCTGTGGATTTTTCAATTTAAAAAGTTTTCTATTTATCAGTTTTTCGAGTTCT